ACTATGACAAAATTTTTGAAAAGACCCAAATAACAATGAACTATACTTGTAGTTGATGCATAACATCTCCTTGGCTGTACCTGTGAACTTCTTTGGGGGGTCAAGATGGACAAAAGAAAATACGTTACAGGTAGGGGTGAAAGTGGGCTGGGCTGGGCCAAACTTTGTCCCGAAAAGCACAAGCCTACGCCAAAAAAATTTAGTTTGGCCTGGCCCAAGCCTATTACGAGTCTAACTGTTAGCCTGACTTGACCCGTTTATAAAAAAGCAAATGGCCTCGCCTAGCCCTTTAGCCTGTTAATTTTTAACTTCAAAGCAGAACCATGAATCAACTTTACAAAATACTCAAATTCTATTGCTAAACCAAAAATCATAATTTCAACGTCCAAACAGAATCATAATCACAACAAAACTCATACAATCTGCATTTAAGTCATTTTCAAAAACATAAAGCTCAAACTAAATAACATATATTTCATCAGATCCAACAAACAAATCCATATTATGTAAATTAAAATAACTACATGAATCCAACAAACACATCATGATGCTTGTAGTAAGTATAACCTCTCCCAAAAACTTTTAACATATTCATATACACAATCTAACATCTTGAGATGTTGGTTCCTCCTATATAAGAAATAAAGTCAGATTTCTATTAAAATATAATCGAATATAATTAAGTTATAAAAAATTGCAATTGATTAAATTTATATCTTTTGTTTTTTTCTTCAAGGCATACTTATTCTATTTTATTTTATTTAAAATAAATAGTACAATATAGGCAGGCCTGTAGGCTTGTAGGCCAGACCTTGTGAAAGTGGGCCTACAGCCTTTTTATTAAACAGGGTTTTTCAAGGCCCAAGCCCGGCCTATTTTACGAAATATACTAGGTCAGGTTTGGCCTGACGTAGGCCGGCCCGGCCCAGTTTCACCCCTAGTTACAGGCATTGCACTATTGAAGCAAGGCAAATATAGAAGGAAAAAAAACCATAAAAAAAGACATACTGTGAAATCTCACCGTTGAATAAGGATCTAGCAATGGAACACATTTAATTTTCACAGCAACCATAAAGATGTTTCTCTTCTATATACCAAATGAAAGTTTCTGCAAAAAGAATTTGGGTCAGATAAGAAAACTTTTTATAATAGATTGATTGGTTAGCATCTAAAATGAGCTTTACTTACAGTATAGTAGCGCTCTAAAACACTCTTTCTTGTTGAATACTGGTAACCACGAAATTCAGTTTTCCACATATCAAAAAAAAATCAAACACAAATATATGCACGAAAAATAAAATTTACGGAACATCAAGGAGAAGATTATTCAAAACACCATCCACCAAAAGGAGAATCTAAGGAGAGCCATAGCAATCAAACGAAAACTTGACAATCCAAGGAGAATCCATAGTACATGCTATAAAGTGCAAAACAATCTCATAAATGTGATTATACAGTTTGTAAAAAAGTGAGCAAGAAAGCATGAGAAGAAGAAACCTCGAAACACTTGTGGAGACGCGAATGAGAAGCTTCACCATCCTTGAGGATTTTAGAGTGACGGCGATCGATATCCACACGAAACATATAAGCTAACAGAGTCGTCAACTCTACAAAAAAACGCAGCCAACTCACAAAAGATGGAAGATTTAAAAAACGCAAAGAACCAAGATTTAAAAAACGCAGACAACTACTTGTTCATCCAATAAAACCATTTCAACGTTGTCGTCAAATTCTCTACGTTGAAAGTTAGGAACTTTCCAAGCCCGAACCACCTCCACCTTAATCCTCCAGTCCTCCTTGGCAGGACTAACATCCTTCAGAAAATTATATTTTGAAACATATTGGTTAGACGATCAAAGAGAGAACGAAGAAGCTGATTCTTTGAGGCTGTATGTTTTAACTGATATAGAGTGTGGGAAAGAAAAAACGATTTACGAACAGGAGCAAAAAAATTGCTGTGTTTTTTGAATCGCATAGAACAATGAGAAGCAGATGTATTTTTTTAAATGTTTAGCAATTCCAATGAAGAAAGTAGCTCAACATTAAATGGGTTGTCAGATTTCAAAAATTAAATTTAAATTTTGAACTCCAAAATTCAAATTAAGATGAGCTGTCTGCCAATACAATTGATAACAAATCTGTACCATTGATTTGAGTTATGAAATCTTGTCCATCGATTTTCATTCAAAATTACATTTTCTTTTATATTTTTTTTATTCATTGATTTACCAAAGAAGGAAAGTTTTTAAATTTTTGTAGTGTGAACGCAAAGCTGAAATTGAAGGAGGAAGTGACACGTCAGCAGACTTGCCAAAGAATGGGTTTGTCTTAGAACATAAGATTCTCAGTCTTTTCTCAAGCATGTTATTAGCGTATGTCCTAACATGTACTATTCGAGTAACCTATTCTCATTATCATTTTATCTAAAAACAAAAACAAAAACTCTAGGAGCCGTATGATGAGCAGAGGCGAATTATTCTTTGGACTTTTGTTAAAGGTTAAAAACAACTTCTTAGCATATAATTAAAATTCAATTTAAACATGATTATTGTTGCCTTGCTAACAGTTATGCAAGTATGCGCACAAGTATACGCGACAACAAGTAATATAGGACTTTTATGGTTCCCAGTTATCGTTCCCACAAGGCAGCAGCCTCTACCCATTTGGAAACATAGTCTACTGCAACCAATATATATTGGTTTCCAAAAGAGGGTGGAAATGGGCCCATAAAGTCTATGCCCCATACATCAAAGAGTTCAACCTCCAGAATAGGTTTCAAAGGCATTTCGTGCCTTCCAGAAATATTGCCAAGTCTTTGGCACCTATCACACTTGTGAACATAAGAATTTTCATCCTTAAACAAGGTTGGTTAATAAAGACCGGACTGCAGCACCTTTGCTGCTGTCCTCATGCTTCCAAAGTGACCACCATATGGTGAATCATGGCATTGACTAATGATCTCCTCTTTTTCTTCCTCTAAAATACATCTCCTAATGATCTGGTCAGCACATTTTTTAAACATGTAAGGTTCATCCCATAAGTAAAATCTACTGTCATGAATCAACTTTTTCCTTTGTTGATAACTTAACTCCTTAGGCAGCTCCCCATTAACTAAATAATTAGCTATGTCAGCATACCATGAGGTTGTGTTAGTGGCAACCAAAAATAGTTGCTCATCAGGGAAGGTTTCTCTAATGGCTTGCTCAATCACCTTTTCACCTTGCTGCCCTTCATTCAGCATAGACAAGTGATCAGCCACTTGATTTTCGGTTCCTTTCCTATCTTTAATCTCCATATCAAACTCTTGAAGGAGAAGGACCCATCTAATTAACCTAGGCTTCGAATCTTTCTTTTCCACCAAATATTTAATGGCTGAATGGTCAGTATACACAATGACCTTGGTGCCTACCAAATATGATCTAAATTTGTCAAAGGCAAACACCACAGCCAACAGTTCCTTTTCAGTCACTGTGTAATTTAATTGGGCTCCATTTGAGGTTCGGCTAGCATAGTAAATAGAGTGAAAAACTCTATTTTTTCTTTGTCCTAACACAGCCCCCACTGCCCAATCACTTGCATCACACATTAACTCAAATGGCAGTGACCAGTCAGGGGCTATTATAATGGAAGCAGAAATCAACTTCTGTTTTAGCTCCTCAAAGGCTTTAAGACAAGCCTCATCAAAATGGAAAGGGGTGTTGATTTCAAGCAAATGACTAAGAGGCTTAGAAGTTTTTGAAAAATCTTTTATAAACCTCCTATAAAAACCAGCATGTCCAAGAAAGGATCTAATTCCTTTTATGTTTACAGGGGGTGGCAGTTTCTCAATCTGATCTATCTTGGCTTTATCAACCTCTAAACCAGCTTTAGAGATCCTATGTCCTAGCACAATGCCTTCCCTCACCATAAAGTGACACTTCTCCCAATTTAAGACCAGATTTGTCTCCTCACATCTCTCAAGCACCCTTCCCAAATTTTCTAACCACTCTTTATAAGAGTCCCCAAAAACACTGAAGTCATCCATGAAGACTTCCACAAACTGCTCTATCATATCAGTAAAAATAGCCATCATGCACCTTTGAAAGGTGGCTGGTGCATTGCACAGCCCAAAGGGCATTCTCCTAAAGGCAAAGATGCCATAGGGACAAGTAAAGGTGGTCTTTGGCTGGTCCTCAGGGGCTAAGGCTATTTGATTGTAACCTGAATAGCCATCTAGAAAGCAGTAAAACTCCCTACCAGCCAATCTATCCAACATCTAGTCAATAAAAGGCAAGGGAAAATGGTCATTCCTAGTGGCTTTGTTGAGTTTTCTGTAATCCATACAGATCCTCCAACCAGTGACAATCCTAGTGGGTATTAATTCTTTTTTTTTTTCATTTTTCACAACAGTGATCCCACCCTTTTTAGGGACACACTACACTGGGTTGACCCAGTTACTGTCAGAAATGGGATATATGATCCCAGAATCCAGCCACTTAATAATTTCCTTTTTTACCACCTCCTTCATAATTGGGTTAAGTCACATTTGCTGCTCTCTAGAGCTGCTGGTTGGGTTAGTAAAAAGGATTTTATGCATTCAATAGGAGGGATTAATACCTTTTATATCTGCCAAAGACCAACCTATAGCCCTCTTAAATTTTTTTAGAACAGCCAACAGCTGTTCTTCCTCTAAAACAGTGAGCAGATTGGACACTATGACAGGCAGAGTGTCTTTTCCTCCTAAATAAGCATACCTAAGGTGATTAGGCAGAGGCTTGAGCTCTAACACAGGGGGCTCTTCAATTGAGGGTTTGGGAATTTTTAACCATCTCTTGGCCAATCCTAAGGACTCAAAAATTTTATTTTTCCAAACCACATCAGATCTAGAATTTAACCATTTAACAACTTCCTCTGAATCAGTTTGACTGATTTCTAGACCCTCAAAACCATAAATTTTTAAAGAGTCTAATGCAGACTCATGTAAAAATTTATCTTTGACCATACAGTCAATGATATCTAGCCTAGAACACTCCTCTGTCTCTTGGGTATTTCATGGCCTTCAAAATATTGAATTTTACTTGCTCACCATTCACATTCATGGCCAATTCACCCTCTTTTACATCTATCACAGCCCCATCAGTGGCTAAGAAAGCCCTTCCTAAAATTATAGGCATCTCTCGGTCTTCCTCATAATCCAAAATAATAAAATCAGCAGGTAGAATAAATTTATCTACCTTTACCAAGACATTCTCTACCTTCCCTTCAGGATAAACCAGGGACCTATCAGCCAACTGTAAAGTTACAGTGGTAGGATTAGGCTCTCCTACTTTCAGCTTTTTGTACACACTCAGAGGCATTAAATTGATACTAGCACCTAAATCACACAATGCTCTGCTTATGTAATGGTCTCCTATGGTGCATGGGATTGTAAAACTTCCTGGATCTCCTAATTTGGGAGGTATCTTGCTAAGCAAATATTGACTGCTCTCTTGTGTAAGAGCAACAGTCTCAAACTCTTCTGGCCTCTTTTTTCTTGAAAGAATTTCTTTCATGAATTTCACATAAGTGGGCATTTGTTCTAATGCATCCACGAATGGAATGTTGACATGCAACTGTTTTAGGAGGTCTAAAAATTTCCTAAATTGATTGTCTTGCCTCTGTTTTTGCAACCTTTGGGGAAAAGGTGGTGGAAGTTTATTTGAGGCAGCAGGTGTCTCAATACTTGGCTTTGATGCCTGACTTTTTGGAATGGATTTTTCCATGGAAATATTCCCTAAAGATGGGTTTATTGGGGTCTGAATTTCTGGTTCAACCAGAACAGGCAGAGGATCACTATTTGCAGCCCCTTGGGGACTGTCATGGACAACATGTGGTTGAACAGGTTCAGAATTTAAATCTGTTTCCTGCTGCACTTTTTCCTCTTCTCTTTTTTTTAATGTGGAAGGTCTAACCCACAGCTTCTGGCTGATTCACATATTTGCCATTCCTAAGCTCTATCATGTGACATTGCTCATTATTCCTCCTAGGCTCTTCAGTGTTACTAGGCAAAGTACCAGGGGGTCTGCTATTCAAAGTTTTTGCTAAATGGCCTAGTTGGGATTCTAAATTCCTCAAAGATGCAGGAATACTTTGCATAACAGCTTCCAAGCCGTTTTGCTTAATTTCATTCTTAACCAAATATTCCTTCAACAAAGCTTCTAAGAAGAGGTTGAAGAGGTAGGCATCTCACCAGCTTGGTTTTGAGTAAATGGGGCTGAAGACTGAGCAGCAGGTTGCTGCCTTGGAGGTTGTTGGAAATTTTGAGGAGGAAAAAGTGGTCTAGTTTGGGCATTAGAGGGTCCAGCTTGCTGCCTTTGCCCTTGGAAATATTGTCGCTGTTGATTCTGCCTCCAACCTTGATTAAAATTAGTGGAAAAATTATTTTGGTTCCTATTTTGGTTCCCCACATAATACACAGATTCTGGGTTGGATGGGCAGCTACCAAACAAATGTGGCCCACCACAGAAAACACAAGTTTCACTGGTGTTCACTGCATTAACTTGAGTTTGGGGTACTGGAACTTGAGGCTGAGACAACCTTGCCTCAATGGCTTGTCCTTGGGTTTTTACTAAAGTGGACATTGCATCAAACTTGGCTGAAAGGACTGTTACAGGATCTACCTCATGCAAACCAGCCACTCTCCTTGACTGATTTCTCTCTTCAGGCCATTGGGCATAATTTTGAGTCATTTGTTCCAACAACTCATGGGCTTGATTAAAGGACATGGACATGAACATGCCATTAGCATCAGAATTTGCTAAGGCTATGCTTTGAGTGTTCAGGCTGTTGTAAAGGGTTTGCAACACTACCCAAGAGGGCAAGCCATGGTTAGGACATTGTTTAAGAAGGATCTTAAACCTCTCCCACACATCCACTAAGGTCTCACCATCCTTCTGCATGAAGTTGGTGATATCACATCTGGTTTGCACTATCTTGTTGGATGGAAAAAATTTCATGATAAATTTTTCAGCCAATGTGTGCCAATTGGTTATGGAGTTGGACGGAAGGGAGTTCAACCACTTTTTGGCTTTGTCAGCCAGTGAGTGAGGGAAAAGCTTCAATCTCAGCACATCATCTGAGATGTTAGGATTCCTAAAAGTGTTGGCCACTTCTATGAAATTCGTAAGGTGCTTATGTGGGTCTTCCATTAGTAGACCGTGGAACTGCACCATATTTTGGAGCATGGTGAACATCACAGGTTCTAACTTAAAGGGCACTCCATTAACAGGTTGGGCAATACTTGGGTCTAACTCATCCAACACAGGTATGATGAAATCCATCATGGACCTATCATTGTCATCTATTACTGGTGGGTTCTCTATCCTCGCAGATCCTCCTTCATTCCCATTTACATTTCCTAAATCCTCCATTTCTTCAAAATTTGGAAGTAAGATCTGCCTATTTGCTCTCTGGGTTCGTCTCCTAACTCTAAAGGTCCTTTCAGGTTCAGGGTCAAAAGATTTTAAGAAAGGGTGTGGAGTTGCACTCATGCACCCTTTTTACTAAAAAAAAATTAAATCTACCTAGCTTAAGCAAACAAAATTCCTATTCAGTGTTTTCTAAAAAAATCAAACAACCAACCAAACAGAAAAGAATTTGAAAGCAGCAACAGTAACCACAAACAGATAGTGTTATAGAACAGTAAAAAATTAGACTAAGGGAATGAAACTAGAAATAAAAATAAAAGATTGACACGAAAAAATTTAGAACCAAAATAACAGCTATGAAACAATAAACTAAAAAATTAAATGGCAAAACCACTATATAAAACATGCAGCAAAATAGAATATCAACAAAACAGAATTTTAAGCTACCAATATTCAAAGGAGTACAATATTATCTACTATCACAATGCAGAAACAGAATTCAAATTAAGCTAAAAAAAAAAAAAAGCAAAAAGAATTAGCTCAGAACAGCAATCACATAAAGAAATCTGACAATGTACGTCTTTGATCCCCGACAACGGCACCAAAAATTTGTTGCCTAGCAAACAGTTATGCAAGTATGCGCACAAGTATACGCGACAACAAGTAATATAGGGCTTTTATGGTTCCCAGTTATCGTTCCCACAAGGATCTTTGGCGTTTTTGACTTGAATTAATTTGTAATTGCTACTCAGAACCAAAAATACAATAAAATCAAATTAAATGCTACTGTTATTCTACATCAAGTGTACTGAAAATATTTTTGTAAAGATTTTCTTTTTAAAATAGTGATTTTAGTTGGTGAAAGAATCTTTAACTACTGACTGGAAAAATAATTAAATAAAAGACTTGTAAATTTTTTATGATTTTCTCTTAAGTTTTAAAACAGAAAATTAAATTCGGATTTGAGCAAAAATATTAAGTGACACAAAGATTGATTTCAAAAACAGAGTTTGGAAGTAAGCTGGGTATCAATTTCCCCTTCCCTCATTTTCTATTAAGTTGCTTTGACAGAAAAAATAGATGTTGCTTTTTTTCAAGAGTTCCAATTTAACGAAAATACAAATACAATCATTGTTTCCCAACAACAATTTTTTCCATAAATAACAGATGACACATCCCTGTGTATCTGTTATTACAAGACCTTGAAGCACCATTTCCTTAAGTTACATGGGGGTAACTTCATCACTGGAGCCATACCCATTGAGAGAGATCTCTCTCAACTTTCCATGTGCTTACAGTGAGGTCTAGTGTGAGTTATTTCCCAATAATCTCACACCACCAGGAGTAGCCTATGTGTGGCCATCATATAATAAACTCAGCATAAAAGAATACACAGTAAACAAACTGGAAATTAACATTTAAACATTAAAACAGCAACTAATAACAAATGAGTTCTGGGCACTCTTTCAACCCAACTCTAAGAAAATTAGCTCATCACCAAAGGTTGATACTGAAAGTAAAATCGCCTTGAAGGCCGTAGCATGTGAGAGGGAAAAACAAAATTTTACATATGCGGAATTACACATGCAATCAAGAATCATGTTTTATGGCATGTGATGTTACCTTTGTTTGTGAGTTCAAAACTCCAAGACGATCAGTGTTAGGTTTGAAGGGTTCAAACCCTCTAACGTTGATCCACACCACCCACGTCAAGATGCAAGAACGCTTTCTTGAAAGTCACCAATTGACCACCACAGAGAGGCTTGCTATGCGCTCAATAGGTGAAGAAGGAGGCTAGGTATATGTGTTTAGAAGAGTGAAGTCTCCAGCATGAAAACTTCACAAGAGTGGGAATGGTATATAGAAGAATTGGCTAGGTTCTTTTGAAAAACCTTAAGGAGGAACTCACCAACTAGGCGCACAAGAGAGGGAGAGAATTAGTGTATCAAATCAGAATTTTTACTTTACTTATAATGAAAGTGGCGCACAAGTGAGTGAGACAAAGGTGGAGTTGTTGCAATTCAAAAATCCCAACAACCTCGCCTTTGAATCCTCATAAGACTAGGTCTTTATCTAGTCAAAATTCTAAACCAATGGTCATCATATGACCACCAATTCATGCGCCCCTATTCAGCCCAAAAATGGTCCAGATACATTTGAGCTGTTGCATTCAAGTTTGAACCAACTAGCTCACTGATTCTCTCAACAACCAAATCTGATTGGAGCTTGTTGGTTTGACAAGAAGACAATCATCTCCCACCAAAATGGCGCCCCAAATCAGCCCTTGGAGAACTCCATAGATCTGCTCTTGATACAAGGGATTTGTTCCAACAAGATCTCATCTTATCCTTTTGTTATGAAACAACTTTTTATAGCCAATTCAAATTTGAATTCAAACATTTAAATTCTAACATTTAAATTCTAACATTTAAATTCTAAGTTCAAATTCAAATTTCAAATTCAAATTCAAATTTCAAATTCAAAATTCAAATTTCAAAATTCAAATTCAAAATTCAAATTTCAAAATTCAAATTTCAAATTCAAAATTCAAAATTTAAATATTTGATAATTAATTTAACTAATTAAATTAATTAGTAATGTCTTGGACCATCCAAGCCCATTAACAATACCATGCGCCCTCTCCCTCTTAGGTGGGCTTCCAAACTTCATCTTGGGCTAACAACCATTATTAGGCCCAATACCTTTAATGCTATATCATCATGACATTAAGGTGTTAGTGTATGACCCATTAGGTCCAACATAGCCACTGACATAAATGGGCTCGGGCCCAATAAGCCCACAATCCATTTAATGACAACACAGAGCACTAACAATGCTTTGTTGCCCCAGAGCTAGTTAGATTAATGACTTGATCATCCTATTACATATATTTGGTTGCCGTATGTATTTCTTTTCGTCGCGGTTACCTTCTCATAAAACCTAGGGTAAGGAAGCGTATCAACCCTTGCGGTTTAGGGTAAGCTTTATTCGAAATAGGGAATCTTCAATTTACTGACTCTAAAGGCAGATCATCTCATGATCTCTTTTACTATGCATAGATTCTCGAGTCCCTGTAAATGTCATCCTGATTTCTCCGATTTACAGATAACCTAATCTCTCATAGAGATTTGACGAATTCCTTCAGCTTATCACCCTAGCCCTGTGCTCTTTCAGGACAAGCCCAACAGTATACCTATGAGTCTCCATGTTTCAGGAAGACGAGGTATACAGTCAAAGCATGCCTTCTAGAACACAGTCTAGGTAATAACTTCTGGTCTAAGGAAAGACATACCCAAATATAAAGAGACTACTCTAATAATACTCTCTGTGAGATTTCCTCATAGAGTCTCTTTTGTGGGTCTGTTCAGTGCGAGCTATACCCTTATAGATCCACCCACGACTTTATCTAAGACATCTCCATATCTGTAGCTCATGAGGTCTTTACCTTGCATCTGAATACAAGTAGATAAGTCGTGCTAGTCTTACCCGAGATCACTGATCCCCATTCTCAGTGTCTCTAGACTATGAACATCAAATTAGGAATAAATATCCAGTATCCTTGAATCCTCATGATCGTGATCTCATCACAGATACTCAAGAGATACCTATTTTATTCTAAGGGGTTTATCCAGTTACTCATATAAAATATTAACAGTAATATTGAGACAAAATATGAAACAGGATAAATAGTGCTTTTATTTATTTGCGACAATACAAAGGTCCACATAT